ATTACTCGAAAGACATTGGGGGGGGGGGGGAGATGGCCTTTCCCCCGACTTGCAAGTGAAGCAATTTCCATCAAGGCAGTTTCTGCTCTCTGTCGTTGCCCCCACCCCGCATGTGTTAATCCATAAATACTCCACACAACGGTGGATGGAGAGGAGGACCGAAGTCGTTTTGGGCAAAACACTGATTGGAGACGGATACCAGACCCCCCTAAAAAAAACCCTCCAACCAGAAATGGATACCAGACACCCCCTCCCCCCACAAAAGAACTCCCCCTCCCCACAAGCTTTTAAAAGGATAACTGTGGTTCAAAACAGAGAAGTCGAGACAGGGAAAGAGCTATTACTGAGACTTCATTCCCTGTTTACAGCTAGGTGGACCTCCTATCAATCTAATGCATGAATTTCTAATACCTTTGAAGGCCCTCCAAAAGCACAACAAAGTTTGGAAAGAGACTTTCTCTCCCAGTCAAATCTATTCCAGAGCAAGGATTTGAACCCAGATCTCTGAGTCCAGATCTCAGCATTATGCTCCTTCTATAGCAGTGGTTCCCAATTTTTTTTTGACCAGAGACCACTTTGACCAGGGACCACTTGACCAGAAACTACTTTGACCAACATTAGTAAAGTTTTTGGTCAACTTTAGATTTTGTTTGGGGTGCTGATTCTGAAAATTGTGTTGGATAGACCACATCAGCTCTAGTTTCTGATACAGAGCATATGCAATAGTCAGCTACAGGGAAGGAGTGACAGGTGGTGCGAAAGGAGCAGAAATAAATAAAATAAAATAAAGAGGAAGGAGGCTTGTGGACCAGATTTTCGTCCTCGGAGCCGACTGGTTGTCCGTGGCCCACAGGCTAAGAACCACTGTTTTATATATATACACACATAATAAAAGTGAAAATACGTATGTGTATATGTGGCTGGTATATCCACTTACACAGAGAAGCTCCTGCCCCACAAACAGCTATAACTCCCACTAGTCAGGAGACACCAATGGCCATCCCTCCAATGAAACTGCAGGTTATAGTGAGCGCCATGAACATATCCAAGAGCCCTGCCAATGTCCTCTACAAACACCACACTGCCCACCACCCAAGTGAAGGCTTTCATAGAGGGACAATTTCATCCTGCATTTTATGTGTTTCCTCCACCACAGACATCCCAGCATTTCTGACACTCTCCATTGGTGTGGAATTTGCATGTCCCCGCCCACTGCCTCTCCCATCACCCTTTCCTATTCTTTTCCATGGCACACAGCAAACAGAGGAATTGATCAGCAACTGAACATACTAGAGAGATTTGGGGAGAATTCACCATGATTTATAGGAGTTGTAGGTCCTGGGATGTATAGTTCATCTGCAATCTAAGAGCACTCTGAACTCCACCAATGATGGACCTAGAACTAATTTAGCTCACAGAACCCCCATAACCAACAAAAAATACTGGATGTCTTTGGAGGGATTTATAGGAGTTGCAGTTCACCGACACCCAGAGTGCACTATGAACGCAAACAATGATGGATCTGGACCACACTTGGTATGCATACCCGATATGCCCAAATTTGAATATTGGTAGGTTTTGAAGGGTATTGGCCTGGACATTTTGGAGTTGTAGGTACTGGGATTTATAGTTCACCTGCAATCAATGAGCACTCTGAACTCCACCAAACTTGGCACACACAGCCCCCATGACCAGCAAAAAATACTGGAGGTCTTTGGTGCAAATTCACCTTGATTTGGGGGAATAGTTCACCCACATCCAGAAAGCACTGTGAACCCAAACACTGATGGATCTGGACCAAAATTGACACACATACCGCTCCGAGTCACCTTGGGGCTGAAATGGGCGGGATAGAAATAATGTAAATAAATACATACCTAATATGCCGAAATTTGATTACTGGAGAAGTTTGAGGAGAATTGACCTTCCTTTCTTGGAGGTGTAGTTCCCCCTCAACCTGTGGCCTCCAAACATGACGGACCTGGACCAAACTTGCCACACAGAACCCCCATGACTAACTCAACCTACTGGAAGGGTTTACGGGGACTGACTCACCATAGTGGGAGTTGTAGTTCACCCTACAGCCAGAGAGCACACTGAATCCCACTGGTGATGCATCTAGAGCAAACCCCACATAACAAACTTTAAGTACTGGATGGAGTTTCTCAGGGTTAACCTGGCATGATGAGAGTTATAGTTCACCCACAACCTTATGCATTTTGTAGAATTAGAAAATTAACTTTTTCAAATCACCCACGCAACTCCGGGTACCCAAACTGGTATATATATAGTTTTTTCCAAACACTATTGTCATCCCACAATTTAGTCCAGGAACATATGCAGTAGACACTTTGTGGCCTCAAAACGTTTCAATTTACTCATATAATGTTCCCAAAGTGGTCGTCACATTTCCCATGTCAGTCCCCAATTAAAGCTTTACCACAACTGGATAAATCAAGGCCTAATAATAATATGTTATACTGGATATTTATTATAATATAGTATTACACCAGGTAACATGACTTTTGTTCCTGGGTTGTAAATATAAGTTCATAATCGGTTCGATCATAAAATCATGGGAAAAGTTCATTAAACTGCAAAAACTTTGTGTTTGCGGGAGGGACATCTTGCAGCACATTGGGCTATAGTTTTTCAATGTGTATCTCATTAGGTCTCAACCAATTCGTGTCTCAACGAGTTTGTGCCACAAAAATGAAGTTTCTGGAGCAGAACAATTACTTTCAAAGTAAATACTTCCAACACTTTCAAACCAGAAACACATTTTCCCCCAAATTTTGTTAGTGTTAGACACCTTTACTTTCAACATTGTGACCTTTTCTTGGGAGTCTAAATGCAATGTTTATTTATGTTTAAGACTAGCTTGAGTATCCGGTGATGCCCCATTTATCTGAAAAAGGCATTGTTTTGATGTGTTAGGTAATACCATTTAGTTAATTACTATCAATATTTATCAGAGAGAAGGCAGTTTCTGATTTGTTTTTTTGATGAATGACCCCATTAGAAAATGCATAACGATTGGGGGGGGGGGGGTGAACTACATTTATCGAAAGTGTGGGCCAATCTTCCCCAAACCAGGCCTGTACGCACAGTTGTCCATGTTGCATCTGTGTGCCAGGTTTGGTCCAGATCCAACGTTGGCTGGGTTCAGTGCTCTCTGGATGCAGATGAACTACAACGCCCAAAACCAAGGTCAATTCCCACAAACCCAAGCAGTATGTTCGGTTGGTCATGGGGCTTCTCTGTGCCAAGTTTGTTCCCAGCCCATTGTTGGTGTGGGTCAGCTTTTCTCTGGATGAAGGTTTACTACAACTCCCAGATTCCCAGGGCAATCACCCCCAAACTCAACCTGTATTCTCAGTTGTGCATGTTGGGTCTGTGTGCCAAGTTTGGTCCAGATCTGTTATTGGTTGGTTTCACAGTGTTCTCTGGATGTAGGTGAACTACAACTCCTATAAATCATGGTGAATTCTTCCCAAACCTCTTGTTCAGTTCAATTCCTGTTTGCTGTGTGCCTTAGGAAAGGGTGAAGAGAGGGGCAGTGGGTGGGGTCATGCATATTCCAAATGGAAAGAGTAAGGAAACCTGGGATGTCCATTCTAGGGGAAAAACAACTACTTTCAAAGTAAGTACTTCCAACACTTTCAAACCAGAAACACATTTTCCTCCAAAGTTTGTTAGATAGTGTATTAATTTTAAAATATTATAATTATTTTATGATTAGTCCCCAGGTGTTATTCTTATTACCATTATTATATATTATTATCATTATAGTGAGAACCCCCTGTGGCACAATGGGTTAAACCATTGTGCCAGCAGGACTGAAGACCAACAGGTTAGAGGTTCGAATCCGGTGAGAGCGCGGATGAACTCCCTCTGTCAGCTTCAGCTCCCCATGCGGGGACATGAGGGAAGCCTCCCACAACAATGCCAAAACATCAAACATCTGGGCGTCACCTGGGCAATGTCCTTCCAGACAACCAATTCTCTCACACCAGAAGCGACTTGCAGTTTCTCAAGTCGCTCCTGACACAAAAAATATTGTAATATATTATTATATTTAACATAATGATTAGTATATACACACACGTATTTTTTTTTTCAGGCCCTCCTCTCTCACCATCCTCTCCTTCCTTCTCTCTATCTGTCCTCCCTCTTTCTCCTTCCCTTCCACCCTTTTGTCCTTCCTTCCTTTTTGTCCTTCCTTCCTTCTCTTTCCTCTCTCCCTTCGCTCCCTCTAGTCTCTTCCACCGTTTTGTCCTTTCTTCGTTCTCTATTTCCTTTCTCGTTCCCTTCCTTCCTTCCATCTTTCCTTTCCTTTTGTCTTTCCTTCCCTCTTTCTCCTTCCATTCTTCCCTTCCACTTTCATCCTTCCTTCTCTGTTTCCTCCCTCTTTCTCCTTCCATTCTTCCCTTCCACCCTTTTTCCTTCCTTCCTTCCTTCCTTCCTTCCTTCCTTCCTTCTTTCTCTCTTTCCTTCCTTCCTTCCTTCCTTCCTTCCATCACCAGACAGTCAGTCCTCCTAGCAGGGAGTGCTAGCATGCGGCCCCAAGTTAGAAAGTTTGCTCACGCGTGATCTAGTATGTTATTATAGTATTAGTACTATATTATTATTATTATTATTATTGTATAATTGTTCTTCTTCTTTTTACTACTACTATTATTTTTCTATATTATTAGTCCCCCAAGTGTTGTTATTAGTATTACTACTAAAGTATATATATTTATTTTGAATTGTTGCAGATAAATTGCAAAATCTGCATCATGAAACTTATATATTTATTATTATAGTATTATATTATTATTTTTGTATTGAATGTTTGCCGATGTCCCCTCAGGGAGATAGGCCGGGATATAAATAAAGTATTATTATTATTACATTATTATTATTATTTCTAAAGACCCACTCTCAAGTCATCCCAAACTCGTATGGGATATCCCACCTCCAGATCAGAAACGTCCGAATTAAAGGACAGCGCTTACCGACAATCCCGGATCCCAGGAATGAGGACGAAGATATGTTATTATGGGATGGCAGGTCCCGAAGCTCGCTGTAGTGTGAGCCTTCGCCGTAGCCCTGCTAAAGGAAACAGAGGAAGAGAAGCATTTGCAGGATGCACCAAAGCCCCAGTCCGGAGGCTAGATGGCCAAATGTCAGGAGGGTCTCCTGGGTAAGACCTTGGGTTCGGCTAGATGGCCCTTGTGGTCAATTCCAACTCCAGGATCCTCATAATAATGGCACAGTACAGTCTACCCATATAGGAGCTCAGCCAATGGGCAATCTGATTGGCCGCTGAATGTGAACCCATCGGCGGGGCACCCTGACCTTGCCCCCCCCCCCAAGCATGGCCACCACCTTGAGGTCCTTCTTACCCTGACTTGGTCAAAAGTCGAGTTGTTCTGATCTCCCGATGCCCATGACCCGGAGGCCGGCCGCTCTTCCAAGGCCGCTAGAAAGAGAGGAAAACAGAAGACGAATAAAACAGGAGTGTTACTTGATCACTCTCCAAATGCTAAAGCAAACTTCCTTATAATCACTGTAAACTTCAACAGCGAACTGTTGAACCTGCTGTTGTCGGACTACAAATCCCAACATCAACAGACCACAAATACCAGAAACAACAGTATACAAATCCCAACATTAAAGGACTTCAAATGTCAGCATTTTTGAACCACGAAGCCCAGCATGCCCAGACTACAAGTCCCAGCATACTTGGACTACAAATCCCTGCATCCCCAGAGTACAAATCCCAGGATCACCAGACTACATATCCTCACCTCAATGGACTACAAATCCCAGCATGAACAAATTACAAATCCAGACATCAACAAACTACAAATCCAGACATTGGTGGACTACAAATCCCAGCCTTGAGAGATGACAAATTTCAATCTCAATGTACAAATTCCAGCCTCAACAGATTACAAATCCTGGGATCAATGAACTACAAATCATGACATCATCGGACTACAAACCTTATCACCAACGGACTACAAACCCTAACCTAGACTGACTATAAAACTCAGAATCAAGACACTACAAATCCCGCATCGACTGACTACAGATCCCAGCATCACAGACTACAAATCTAGAAATAGTTTTCTAAGGTCTACAGAGACACTCGCTGGAACACCTCAGCAAGCAAGAGTCCAAAAGTGGCAGGCTCAAACCCAGAACCTCAATCAATGGCTGATACCAAATGAGAGACTCCCCCTGGGCACACAGAAAACTGGGCGACTTGGAAGGCACTGAACAGACTGCGCTCTGGCACCACGAGATGCAGAGCCAACCTTAAGAAATGGGGCCACAAAGTGGAATCCTCGACATGCGAGTGTGGAGAAGAGCAAACCACTGACCACCTGCTGCAATGCAACCTGAGCCCCGCCACATGCACAATGGAGGACCTTCTTGCAGCAACACCAGAAGCACTCCAAGTGGCCAGATACTGGTCAAAGGACATTTAATCAACTACCAAACTCACAAATTTTGTATTTTGTCTGTTTGTTTGCTTTGTTCTGTTAGAAATGTAATATAATTTGACTGGTTGTCCTGACACAACAAATAAAATAAATGAAAGACTACAAATTCCACCATCAGTGGACTACGAATCCCAGAACTCTCCATTCCCATGCCAGTTTTATGTCCCAACTGGACTGTAGGGAAGAAAGGCATAGTTTTCATTATTTTCTTCCTGTTTTGAGAAATGAGAAGGTTTTCATAAGCAAATTCGTAATCTGCTCTGCCTTTCACGAAAAATTCACGCAGGAGCAAACAAGGATGAAAAGAACAGTTTTTTTTTCAAACAGAAAATCATATTTCTCTGCGGTAATATGATTAGATTCATAAGTTTATTGTTGGAAGAGACCCCAAGGGCCATCCACTCCGAACCCATTCTTTCATGCAGGAAGACACCATCTGATCTCTCCTGACAGATGGCCATCCAGCCTCTGCTTTAAAAGCTCCAGAAAAAGCAAACCTATATATATATATATATACACACACACACCAATGCAAGTCAGTGTGTCGTGCTTGAGATATATTCCTCACCCCCCCTCCCCAAAAAAAATGCTGATTATTATGGGAAAGGCACCGTCCCCATTTCTCTTCCTCTGCTGTTCATTTAACCAGAAACGTCTTTCCGAAATTGCACGCTTCCCTCTCGAAAGCCTTTTGTGTTCATCATTCCCCGGGAGAATTGGTGTTTAATTGCTACCTCATTTGCATAATTATGCATATTAATCTCTGCGCCTAATGAATATGCATGGTTCTCGTTTAGATTTTGTTTTCTAATCAAAAAATTTCTTTTTTTTCCATTTCTCCCTATCTCTCCTTTTTTCCCTTCCCTCCAATGTGATTACTTTGCGGAATTCAGTAGTGACGCTAATACGACTCGGGACGAAAGAAAGAAAGAAAAGAAGGAAGGAAGGACAGAAAGTGTGTGGAGAGCTTCAACCAAAGCAGAACAGACCAGGACTATAACTTCCTTTGATCCGGACACTAGACTCCAATGGATGCAGCCTAGAATCGCATTGGCCTTTTTGGCTGCTCCATGACACTCTTGGCTCATGTTCAGCTTGAGGTCCCTTTCAAATGCTTGTAACTCTATTGAGGGAAGTTCCTTCTCTCCTTCATTCCAAATTCCTTCTCTCTTTTCTCTCTATCTATTTCTCCCACTCTTTCTGAGTTATGACCTCCCCTTGGAAACCCAGTTCTCCGAAACCAGGGGATCCTGGGAAATGTACTTTGCGGGATAGAAGAAAGGAAGGAAGGAAGGAAGGGAGGAAGATAAAGAGGAAAGAAGGAAGGAAGGAAGGAAAGAAAGAAAGAAGATGAAGGAGGGGGAGTGAAGGGAGGAAAGAAAGAATTGAAAACAACGAAGGAAGAAAAGAAGGGGATTGGAGGGAAGGAAGGAAGGAAAGAAATGGAAATAAGGAAGGAAGAAAAGAAGGGGGAGGGGGAAAGAAAGAAGGAAAGAAAGAAAGGAAGAAGGAATGAAGGGGAAGGAGGGAGAGGGAAGGGGAAGGAAGGAAAGAAGGAAGGGAGGAAGGAAGGAAGGGAGGAGAAAGGCGAAGGGAGGAAAGAAGGAATTGGAAACAAGGAAGGAAGAAAAGGGGAAAGGAGGAAAGGAAGAAAGGAAGAAAGGGAAGGAGGGAGAGGGAAGGGGAAGGAAGAAGGAAGGCAAAGGGAGGAAAAAAGGAATTGGAAACAAGGAAGGAAGAAAAGAAGGGGAGGAAAGAAATGGAAATAAGGAAGGAAGAAAAGAAGGGGAAGGGGGGAAAGAAAGAATCAAGGGGAAGGAGGGAGAGGGTAGGAAGGAGGAAGGAAGGAAGGGAGGGAGGGAGGGAGGAGGGTAGGAGGGAAGGAAGGAGGGAAGAAAGAAAGAAAGAAAGAAAGAAAGAAAGAAAGAAAGAAAGAAAGACAGAAAGAGGAAGGGAGGGAGGGACGGGAGTGGCAGAAAAAAAGAAATGGAAATAAGGAAGGAAGAAAAGAAGGGGAAGGGAAAAAGGAAAGAAGGAAGGAAGAAGGGGAAGAGAGAGAGGAAAGAAAGAAAGGAAGGGGAAAGAAAAAAGGAAGAAAGGAATGAAGGAGAAAGGAAAGAACGAAGGAAGGGGGGGAGGAAGGGAGAGTCAACACTAACTTTGCTGATGGCTGTTTCTTCCCTCCATTCCTTCCTAGAAAAGCTCAATCTGAGAAAGATAGAAGAGACGGGTCGCCAGATCCCAAAATGCCCCTGCCTGACGGTGCCCCTTTCACGGGGTTTCCTCAGGGCTCGCCACTACCTTCCTCTGGGGCTGAGACAGTGTGACTTGCCCAGGTTCTCTTTGAAACCTGGGTCTCCAGAGTTGCGGCCCTCAAAGCTTGAAAGGACGTTGGGGGGAAAGGGGTGTGTGTGCTTCAGTGGCAAGGAAGCGGCGGACCTAGTGTGATTCCCAGAAGAGACTTCTCTTCTCGCATCTTCTCGCATCCCATAAAACCTGTCCTAAGAGTTTTTCCAAGTTGTCTATTCGATTCTATGGTTACCATCGAGTCTCGCTGACAAATTCCTAGCAACACCTCACTGTCTTCTTCCCTCCTCCATTTCTATTCCATTAATAGAGTCATTAAAATTGGGGAGGGGGGGGCAGTGAGAAGGGAGCGAAACCCCACAGATTAATTGCGCCTCTTAATCGTTCTGCTCATGAATATTCACAAAGCAGCCCGTGCTCACGGTCTAATTAAAACGCACTAACGGTACAGGAAAGAGCTGTTGGGAAAAGGGGGAATCTTCCTCCACTTCGCCCACCGTTTTGGGGTTTCGGCCCCGGGATCCCTTCCGTTTTGGAGGGAGATAAAGAGAGACAAAAAAAAAGGGCTTCTGGACCTGAGGTCCTATGATCCCCTGCCAATCAGGGGGACCATGGGCTTTGCAGTCCCCAAAAGGCCCCAGAGATGAAAGCGAGGAGCCGAGAGGGGAGGCGGCAACCGGCACAAACGCAGGGGAAACGGAGGTCCCGGAGAGACAGGCTCCTCCCGGCAGCTGCAAAAACAAGGGAGGCCCCGCGGCCGAGAAGAAACAAAGGAAGGGCTCCCAAAGAACCAAGGCGAGGGAAAGCATCTCTCGTACAGAGCTTTCCAAACTTCTCCCACTTTGGAGACCTGCCTCCTTTCGCAACACGGTCATTTGGTCGCTGGCAAACAGAGTTAAACAATCTCTTCAAAGAGTTTCATACTATACACACACACACATTCACTCACACACACACTAGCTTGGGTACCCGGCGTTGCCTGGGTCATATGAAAAAGTCATGTTTTACCATTGTACAAAATGCATAAGCTTGTGGGTGAACGATGCCAGGTTAACCCCAGAGTACTTAAAGTTTGTTATGTTGAGCAAGTTTGCCCTAGATGCATCACCAGTGGGGTTCCGTGTGCTCTCTGGCTATAGGGTAAACTACACCTCCCACTATGGTGAGTCAGTCCTCTCAAATCCCTCCAGTAGGTTGAGTTAGACATGGGGGTTCTGTGTGCCAAGTTTGGTCCAGGTCCATCACTGGTGGAGGTCACTGTTTCTCTGGTTGTGGGTCAACTACAACTCCCAGAAAGGAAGGTCAGTCTCTCACCCTCCCCCCGCACCCAAACACCTCCAGTAATCAAATTTCAGAATATCAGGTATGTGTGCCAAGTTTGCCCAGATCCATCGGTGGTTGGGTTCACACTGCTCTCTGGATGTAAATGAACTACAACTCCCTCAAATCAAGATGAATTTTCCCCAAAGACCTCCAGTATTTTCTGCTGGTCACTGGGGCTCAATGTGCCAAGTTTGGTCAATTCCATCTTTGGTGGAGATCAGAGTGCTCACTGATTGCAGCTGAACAATACATCCCGGTACCTACAACTTCAAAATGTCCAGGCGAATTCCCCTCAAAACCCACCAGCATTCAAAGTTGAGCATATTGGGTATGCACGACC